ATGTCTTGTGACGTCCACGGCCTACCCCAGTTACCACTACTGTGCATGTGTGTCAAGGACAGAAAGGCAGACGTGGCAGTGGAAGGTGTCAAAGCAGTTTGGAGATAAAAACAAAGTAAAGAACAAAAAGACTAATTGATTATTAAATTAGTCATCGACTATTTTAATAATCGATTAGTCATCGACTAATCGTGGCAGCCCTAGTTGTAAAGCATGATGATGCTGAAAACTGTCGCAAAAACTGGATCGGCCCTATCACATGACTAAATTCGATTCTACATGATTTTCAAAAAATGCCCATATCTACCACCGATACCGAGTATCTGATCGGGACATCCCTGATCTCAAACTCTGTATATCACATGGAGCGCTGCTTAATCCATTTTTATAAAATGGAAAGATGATTCTACTACAGCGAGCCTGTCAAAGAAGGGTTGTCCACCAAAGCTCATGGTATTTATTAACCTTTATTTAACCAGGCAAATCCCATTGAGATCACAGATCTATTTTGCAAGGAAGGCTTGGGCCAGAGGACAACTTAGCATTTATTTTGTGATTAATCAGAGAAGCAACCAAGACTCAGAAGATAACTGATGGAGCTGAGCAGCTCTTCTGCAGAGATCTGTCCGTATTATCACTATAATATGCACAAAGCTGGGCTTCCTGGAAGTGTGGCAAGAAAAAACACAGCTGAAAGAAAAGAAAAAAAAGTCAAGTTTGGAAAATGTTCTCAAATTGTGTGAAAGAAGGTTCTGTAATAGGATTTGACTAAACTACACAAACAACAACTTCCCCTGCTGAAACATCATCCCCATAGTGAAGCATGGCCAGGGAAGTGTCATGCTGTGTGGATGTTTTCTTAGTGGTAGACTGGGATGGAGGTTCAGTTCCTAGCTAGCAGGAGTAATACTCCACTGGTTAAAGGAGAACCAGGTAAAGGGGCTGGACTGGTCTAGCCTAGACCTTAAAACAATTAAGAATCTCAGGTTTGATTTAAAGATAGTTGGACTCAAGCAGCTGCAGCAGTTTGGTCATGATAAAAAGAACAATAATTCAGAGTTTAGATGGACTAAGATCATGGAGACTAACCAGAAGAGTCTTGATGAACTGTAGCCAGTCAAGACACAAGGTTTTGATTTTAGGGTGGATAGATGCACGCACCACTTTTGAGTCTTTTAAATAAAGTATTTTGTAAAATTACTAATCATAATCCAAATAAAAATCTATGTGAATTCCAGGTTGTAAGAAAAAAATTAATGGGTGTAGGCGGGACATTTTGATCAATGGTACAGTCCCATGTCTTGGGTGCACAGCCGCTGGCTCCAAATGATAAAACTCACAGAAACAGTCGTTTCGTCTTTAATTTTGAACAACAGATGAAGCTCAGATGCTTCGTCCATCTTTTATTGTTGATTCAATTCATTTCAGTATATTTATACATAGAGCCAAGTAGGGTTGGGCAATATTGGCAAAAAAATTAATCACGATTAATTGTGGTATTTAGCCGATAACGATTAATTTGACGATTAATCCCCTGGAGTCCCTGGATACCCTTATTTCGTAGTGATGACCAATTTAGTGGGAAAGATTTGGTCTTTGTAAAAAAAATTTCAAAATTGTGTGAAAATTACAGATTTCAGTATATACATCATATTTTAAATTGTGTTGATAGATAAATAAATTACAGAACTTTATTTTTAATGTTCGTCCTATTTGAAGCAGAGAGGAGCAACAAGCAGACTGACCGGAGTAATCCCCAGTCAGTCTGCCTGGTGGCATTAATCGTATTAATCGTCAAGTGCCAAAAAACAATCGATTAATGTTTTTCTGACTATTAATTGCACACGATATGATTATGCCCAACCCTAGCGCCAAGTCACAACAAATGTCTCAGATGGTACAGTACATGCAGTTAACTTTGCTCAGTAATAAAACATTCACACAGAGACAAATGCTACAGCTTAATAATGCTGTGTTTACTAACCAAACAATTATTGGATTTTTGAGTGGATTTTTAATAGGTTGATCACCGACAACCAAGCTAAAAATCAGCCACTGATCACAAGTGGATTCTATAATGCATCTTCTCTAATACTTTCATTTCTTCATTTTCATTTAAAATGTCAGTGTTGATGTTTATTCTCTGCAGAACTTTGAACTTCTCTCTCATTTTGCTTTTGCAATCTAAATTTCCAGCATCTTTTAAATCCAGATTTATCTACGATTATTAGCTTACTTGTCTTTAGACCTCTGGGAACTTATTTTCTTCTGTTTAGCTTTTTATGATTATGTTTATGCTTCAGGGGATGAAAACCTTATTTTCATCTCTCTTATTTTGCTCACATGTATACTCTCTTGTTTTTGGCCTTTTATGTACATTCATTATTTTCAAGACATATTGTTTTCAGTTTATTGCCTTGATATTTTCATATTTTTCACCTGAATGCTT